GCATAAACCAAAAAAAAGGCTGGATCACACTGCCTAAAATCAGTATTCCAATCATTCTAAAACTGACTGTTGGATTTAAATGGTTAGGAAACATGACAAACAAACACCAACAGGATAAACACTGATCCAGAGCAACCCAGTAACCGCTAGAAGTTGGTGTTTGTTGGGCTCCAACCTTTGCATGTAAATGATGCCGTTTTAAACAAAAACTATCATGAGGAAAGATATCATAATAAAATTTTATTTTATTAACAATATTATGAAATTAAATACAAATATTATAATAAATCTAAATATTATAATAAAACTAAAACAAAAAAAATGTATAAATGTGCTCTACAATGCTAACAAAAACTAGACAGGATTACAGGAAAATTACTGTAGTTTATGTATTTTTGGTTAATTATGGATAATTGATTTATTTAAGGTTAAATAGGACAAACTGTTGTTGATTCAGTTATGTTATTTACCTTATATTGATTTTTTTATTGGACTGTGTCCACATAGACACAGACCCCACAATAATATATCAACATGCACAAACTTAGGCAAAAGCCTAACGGTGCAACCTCAAACAAAACTCGCAAAGATTCAATGGCATAAATCTTGTACATTTTAACAAATTTAGCAACATTTTTATCCAAACCGACTTGCATTGCATTTTATTTTTATTTTTACAAATGAAATAAATTCTGCAATAGAGGACATTTTAAAAATCAAAATTCAAAACAAAAATAAAAACTACTGGAACTGTTGAAAAAAAACCCTCCATATTAGTGTGTGTGTGTGTGTGTACGCGTGTGAGAGAGAGAGAGAAAAGTATAAATATCAGTTAGTTGGTTTGTGTACAGTATGTTGTAAAAAACAGCCACTATTCTTATTTACCGAGGATATGGGACGTTGTTGTCTCTCTAAGCTCTTGGATCTACCATAAATCTGAGCTGCTTGGCCCCTGCGGAGCACTGACTGGGTGGAGAGCCACCATTGGCACATTGATGAATCCCTTTAGATGTTCCAATCAATACGGCTTTATCTTCAGGCAACCCGCGCAGACGCCCATGTTAGTTCACCTGAGGTCCTGAAGGACTGTTCGGTCGGTGCGCTGTACATCAAAGCTCACTATCAGCTATAGCATGCTAGACAGGTACAATCAGCACTGAAGGCAGGAACCTCTCATTTTCCATGTCAGCTACAGATTACTGATCTATAGCCGACTCTCCCATGGCTGCAATGTTATATGTCATCTTTATCAAACATGATCTATGTCTCTGAAATGCAGCAGCTTTGGTTTATTCCATCAGTCAGTCAAAAAAATTAAAAATACAAGAATAGAGCAACAGGGGTGCACAGATATATCACTATAAATGCAAATCACATCGCTAGGGAACTATGGTACAGTATAAGAAATTATACTATTTAACTGTTAAAAAATGCAGTCCTTTCCAACTTTGACACGTACCTGTATGCAGGTTTACTGATACTGTTTGCAAGGGCTGCTGAGGCATTAAATAGGGTTGATTAGTGCAAATGGGTGATCAGATTTCCTATTGATTGTGACAGTGCAGATTGCCTTCCAGATAAATTAAATCCTATAACTGAGTTCTGCTGCAGATACTGATAATGCTGTTAGCGGCCATTAATGCTCTTCCGTAATTAGCTTATATCAAAGTAATTAAAACAATGACAGTGTAAAGTAATTACATTACATGCTAACTCAATATTTTGTCTGTGTTATCTCAACCTGTATGCTCGATATCTTGTTTTCGGAACATAATGGAGGGCCCTTTCACCATTTTTGAACATGTGGGTCATTATATTCATTACGACCTAAAGCGATTTCACGGAATGTCTATGTTGATTGTGATTTACAAGACAAGGCTAAAATAGGGCTAAAAAGATAAGTAATCATTGTAAAACTATATATTGACATCAATTTTATGTTATGCTTTTTAAATAATATTATGACCAATACAATAAACAAGTAAAATTTATTATTATTGTTATTAATGACATTTACATTTTTGGAAATTGACTTTTAAAAGTTTTTTTTAATAAGATCTTTTATTTTTATTTTATTTTATTTTTTTCGTTAAACAGTAATGTAGTAAAAAAGTAATATTGTGAAATTTCTTATTGACAGTAATCTTGCTGACCCTAAACTTTGAACAGTAGTATATATTGTGTATTTTTAGACCTGTCTTTTTAGACTAGACCATAATAAACACTATGAATGTTCTTTAACTTTAGATCTCCATCACAGTTATTAATCAGGACCTAACCTGAGGTCAAAGGTCATTGGTGCTGAGGAGGTCATTGGTGGTGACTGTACAGTTAAGATGGATCCCCCTGCGGGCCATTGACCCATTTTCAGGAAGATGTCAGAGTGGAGAAGATCAATGAATACTCAAAGAGAGCAGTCAACACCTGCTGATACAAACACTGTTTGATAAGCTCAGCTCAAGAGTGGCCATCAATGAGCTGCAAAGAGATATTGAACTGTAAAGGAGCTCAGAGAGTTGTGGGATTTAAATCACCACTACATTGACGCTGTACATTGTGATGCGATATGAGTCAGAGACAGGACAACAACATCTGTTTTACAGACCTGAAAAGAGTCAGTCATTAGTAGGGCTGGGTTGACAATAATTACTCGATTTTAATTAGTCCTTATTTTGATAAACCAATATGAATACTTAAATCCCAAGATCGATTTTCTGTGCTGTTTTCAGTTCAGAAGCGTGAACAAAACTTCACTAAACATTATGTGTAGCGTGGCCCCTATCCAATAATTGTGATAAGCTTTGTGTTTTCTTTTTTTATATGAAACATAGTCTTAGCTTTCAAATTCGGTCAATTTTATCATGAAATTTAAACAATAAATATCATTTGGCACTCTTTAATGTGGCGTGAGAGATTGCTGTAGCTGCCTCAGTTCAAACAGCAGCACGGAGCGCATTTCAACCAATCATCTCTTCCTCTTTTCTACTAGTTATAGCACAAAATAAACATAAATGAACATCAGAATGTATGTTGAAAGATACAGTACAACTTGCCAAAATGTATCATCTCTCATGTAATCACCCAATCAGTGTTTCAGCCATGAAAATACATAAATAAAACAGCTTGTAAACAATATATCATGTAACAATACATTTTTACAGGAAAGCCATTCAGTGTCCATAGAAAAAAAATAACTCTAGAGAGATGCATTTTGATTAATATATGCAGTATATTATATTATAGTAATGTAGCATAGTAATGTATAGTAGTCTGCAGCAGTTTTTCTTAATATATATAAACTTGACATAAAATATATCCAGATATGACTTAATATATATATATATATATATATATATATATAAATTAATATTGAATCGAATCAAGAGCTTGTGAATTGGAATGTAATTGAATCATGAAATCTGTGTGATTACGACAGTTGTTTTATCCTCAATACTTTGCCAACCCACAAGAGGCCAAGATGGGGGAAAAGGTAAAAATTAAGAAAGCTGGATTATCGGATGAAATCATGCATTCTGCTGAGTGTGACTAAGGTATAATCACAGTCACAAACACACATTCACTCATTCACAACACACAAGCAGAAAGCAAGGGAAAGAGTGTTAGCCAGAAATGTGTGTCTTGGGTGATAGTGCTGTGCTAATAACCAGCTGTGTTGGACAACATCAGCCTCCTGCCTTATTGAATGGAAAAACGATCACTGTTGTCAAAACTGATCACTCACTTACAGTGACTAAGACAGCAGGTCATGATAGGGCACTGACTTACTCCCAAAAACACGGAGCAGACGAGACTGCTTCCTCCACACTTGAAAACAGCACTTCTCGTATACGGGATGCAGGACTAAAGGGTCTCCAGGGTCGGCCAACTATGCAATGTGATGCTGCCTGAAGTCGACAGCCCTAATTGTAAACATCTGAGAGGGCTTGTGATCTGTCACCAGGCAACATCGGCTAGATGGCAACACTGACCTAAACGACGTCTGTTAGAATCAGAGCTCTGTCAATCACAGGAATGCCGCAGAGTCTAATTTTACATACGCTGAGTATGTTCTCAGCTAGCATGCCATCTGATAGAGTGGCCTTAATTTATTTCAAGTCAATTAGCGAATCTTCCCATTAGTAGTGGATTTGGAGGATCTAGGTGCCCTGGATGTAGATTATTTATAATGAATTTTGTTGTTATTGTCGACTTTTAATAACAGTGCACCGGTGCTCTCTGCATAACCTTTAATCTTTCATTAAGGAAAACTTGCATTTATAAGCACTGAGCTCATGTCATTTGAATGCTAGATAGCAGAATTGTCTCATAATGAGCTTTTAGGAGAAAAGAGCATGACATCAGGGAAGGTAGGTTCTAAACTGATGCTCTCAGGGTTGGGGTTAGGGTTAGGGTTAGGATTTTGTGTTCCTTAATTATAAATGGTAATTCAAAAAGCACACAGAGGTACATGTCAGTGGATGATTACATTAATGTTAACCTTGAGCTTTTGAAAACAACCCCAAGAAAAGACAAATTATATTTATTAAAAGAAAAAAATACATATAGAAATATTGTGTGTGTGTGTGTGTGTGTGTGTGTATGTGATTTTGCTGCTCAGGAAACATTTCTTATTATTAGCAATGTTGAAAACGGTTGTTCTGCTTAATATTTTTGTAGAAACTGATTTTCTTCAGGATTCTTATGTTCAAAGAACATCATTTATTTGAAATGGTAATGTTTTGTAACATTATAAATGTCTTTACTGTTCATTTGAATCAATTTAATGCATCCTTACTGAATAAAAGTATTCAATTCAAACATTTCCTAAACATTTGAATGGAAGTGCATTGTACGGAAGTGTCACAAAAATGAGTGGAGCTATACACAAAATATTTTTTTCTAATTTTCACTCCTATTAAATAGACTTGTAAGAATGACAAAGCATATCACACAATATAATTAACTCGTATTAATTAACCGTGACTCTCCTTCTTCCCCAGGAGAGTGATAGTATGTGGTGGGATGCGTTTGCTACAGAGTTCTTTGAGGAGGACGCTACATTGACCATTGCCTTCTGCCTGGAGGATGGACCAAAAAGATACAGTAAGATTTAAGCCTTTATGCAAATTTGCTTGTACTGGTGCCAAATAAAAACAGAGCTTGATGGAAGATGACTGTGATATTGTGTCTATGGAGTCTGAAAATGTACAGTAGAAGGCAATGATCCATACAAATCTGTAAAGAACTTTGATTCAACTAAATTGATCCGCCTTCCAGATCTTATTGACTTTTATTGGTCTTCCAGGAAACAAGTTCCCTAAACGTCACATAAAAACAGCACTGTGGTTAATGGCCTTGCATCTCACTATGGAGAACTAGACTAAGAAAGTGTTGTAATTGGTCAACTGACTTGCAAGTTTCATATTTGTGAATTATTTTATCTGTAGCTCTGCCAGAATTTGTCTAAACACCTTATAAGAGAGTAATTGTTTACAGTGAGCTCCCTAATGTAGTTTTGGCTGCATTTGCAATAACTGTGCTAGCCTGTCCATTTTTTTTTCTTTTCTGCACACCTTTCCTATCTTTCCCTCTAATGATTTAAGCTGTGTTGTCTGTTCTTATTGAGTTCTCTGCTTTTGGTTAGTCATGCAGAACACTCTGCCTGTTGCAAAGAACATGTGAGTCAAACATTCACTGAAGCTCCCTCCCTTCCCGTGGGTTTTTGTAGTGCTGATAGATTCAGAAATATATACTTTTATTATGCAAACTGAATATGCCATTCGACTGTGGGCAGCATTACAATAGCCTCAGTTTTAGCCTCTTTTCAAGACATGGCAGTTTATTTTTCTTCATTTTGTGAAGTTTGAATAGTTTTAATTGAACAAAGATGTAAAATTCAAACCCTAAAATGTTTAATTTGTCATTTAAAATGTCTTTTCCCCAGCAAATGACAAGTTTCTAAGGTTTTTTTATATATATATATGTTAATTCTACATTGCAGCATGTAATTTTTTGTAATTCTCACAAACACCATTTAAAAGTGGAAACACCAAAGCTTGCATCGGCTCCGGAGGCACATAGGGAACCAATCCCCCATATCAATTAGGAGGGTGTTCAGTCCATCTCTTGTGACAGCTCATCTTTAGTCTTCAGAAATGACTCCTCTTAGTTTCAGCCACAAACATACACCCTCACTCCATTAATGTCACTCACACACAAGCACAAGCACTGCATTCTACATTTGCTCAGGCCTTTTATAAATGTCTCAATCCTCTCTCTACTAAGCATCGTTAAGGTTTTCTGCATCGTACAGCCTCGCATTAGTATGCTTGTTTTATTCTTGCTTGTCTTTGTATGACATGTTTACAGTAATCACTGTTCAGTTTCCGTTGAGTAACTCGTTCCTCTGCTTTACATTTCAAGACATCAGATCAAAGATAGTCTTAAGTATTTACCTGTATTTACTAGTATTTACCTGTTTATGAATTCTTTATTCAAAATAAGGTCATATCGCACACATCCAGTGTTGCATTTTAAATGCACTCTCTGGAATACTTGTCAAAGATGTAAAATTCAAACCCTAAAATGTTTAATTTGTCATTTATAATGTCTTTTCCCCAGCAAATGACAAGTTTCTAAGGTTTTTTTATATATATATATATATATGTTAATTCTACATTGCAGCATGTAATTTTTTGTAATTCTCACAAACACCATTTAAAAGTGGAAACACCAAAGCTTGCATCGGCTCTGGAGGCACATAGGGAACCAATCCCCCATATCAATTAGGAGGGTGTTCAGTCCATCTCTTGTGACAGCTCATCTTTAGTCTTCAGAAATGACTCCTCTTAGTTTCAGCCACAAACATACACCCTCACTCCATTAATGTCACTCACACACAAGCACAAGCACTGCATTCTACATTTGCTCAGGCCTTTTATAAATGTCTCAATCCTCTCTCTACTAAGCATCGTTAAGGGTTTTCTGCATCGGTACAGCCTCGCATTAGTATGCTTGTTTTATTCTTGCTTGTCTTTGTATGACATGTTTACAGTAATCACTGTTCAGTTTCCGTTGAGTAACTCGTTCCTCTGCTTTACATTTCAAGACATCAGATCAAAGATAGTCTAAGTATTTACCTGTATTTACTAGTATTTACCTGTTTATGAATTCTTTATTCAAAATAAGGTCATATCACACACATCCAGTGTTGCATTTTAAATGCACTCTCTGGAATACTTGATTCTGTGGTCAGATGATTTGTATTACGTCCAGTAACCTGTAGAATGTATTTGTTGTCCCAGATAACCTTAGCTGAAGCTTTTAGGTAATCTACAAGTAAACTAATAAAATAATTTAATCTTAAATCAATATGTACATTTATTTATTTATTTGGTAAGTAGCCTAGTAATACACCGGATAATGTACAGTCAGCAGCCAGTCATCACTGCAAATAAACCTTAAATAAATGATAAATGTACAATAACTGACTTAGGTCTAATGAAATCATTTCTATGTTATATTTCATATTTCTAAGTTACATTAAATATGAAGAATTTTGAGAATATCTTTTTTTTCAGCATAATTAAGCTAGAAGATATTGGCACTCAATTATTATTAGTACATTATTCTGCACTAAATTAAACATGACATTTTCTATACAGAAATGCATACATGGAGCATAGTTTACTTATGTATTTTCTTTTAACTTTTCAGTTTTATTTATTTATTTATTTTTCAGGCAAAAATAAAAGGCTGATGCTCAACCAACTTTAGAGGAGGTTCAACTTAAAAAAAAAACATCTTAAATGATTTATTTAAAAACAGTGGCATTTCTGCCAACTTCAAGGCCTTCATTACCCACCCAAAAATGTTTATTTACTCATTATTTATTTTACGTTCATAGTTCCCTAGATGCCTGGTCACATTGCATGTTAACAACTGCTTTAAATAAAGAAAGACTCCTAATGGTTGTTAAAACTTTAATGGGTATATCTGAATAAATGAAGTTAAAGGCTTAACATGATTAAACTTAAAAACTCTCTTCATAGTTAATAATAAAAACTTCAGTACTGAGAAATCTCCGACCATCTCCAAAAGTATCTAAAATATCCCTTACAAGCATAAAAACAAGAAGCATTGACGTTTAAGAGACAAAGACTTTGCACTTATATTCACCAACATATATAATATAAGATGTGGCCGTTATTTCACCGCAGTACCATTGTGGATGGATAGATAATGGATGGATTATTGAAATCCATTAGTTCAAATGGCCTCACTTTCTCAGTCTCTTTTCTCTTTCTCTCAATCTCACTCTCCAGGACTGAAGCTCAGTTCTGTCTTATCCTTCTAGTCTTCTATTTTTTATCTCCTGAAGTGATAAAAGATTAGTTTCTCCATTGTATGTTTCTCTGCATATCTATTTGTTTAATACTAATTATATTTTAATAGAAATAATAAAAAATAAAATATTTTATAAATAATACATCTATAAAAAGTTAATACAATATTTTACACAAAATGCTATTTTTATGTATATTAGGTTAGCTTAGTAACATTAATTACCATCAAACTCCATTGAAGTCAATAGTGGGTCAAGTCCCCCATGTGCTTCACACAAGCGTGTGGAGAGCGCAGAGCTGCTGCCGATGTAGACTGTTCCAAATCAGTCACTTATGCATTTCCATTTCAGGTAGGATTTTGCCTTTGAAGGCAGCTGCCTATAGTATATAGGCTACAGATGTTCACTTCGGAATAGGACTTACAGTGTAGTTTGGCATGTACCACCCTAACCACCTGAAGACAGGAACCTTTCGAATAAATATTTTAGCTCATTGATCTGCAGCACCCAAACCTGAACACAGGACTACACTATAACCTATTTCTGTAACTGATTCCTTAAATACTGTGAAGTGCTGTAGTTCAGTATTTTCTTCACATCTCTCCTCGTGGACATTATTAGCTGGGGAATAATTAATATCTGAACTGAAACACTGTTCTTGTTTTGGGTTGAGGCGAGGAGAGTTTCAAAGCGTGATGCAATGCCCCTGCAACTGTGACACCCAATAAAAAACTTCCACCACTGAACCGCAACACTTCATCAGACAATAACAAACAAACCAAAGACGAATTTATTAGCAGATTTGGATGAAGACAGTTGGAATCTGTTTTGTTTTTGGTCGCAGTTGTTTTATTAGAATGGCATTAGTGTTTGTGCAAGCCAAAAACCTGAGGATGTTAGGCTCATTAATCAGGTTCGAGTTGAACCAAACAATTTACAGGCTTTAGTAAAATTTCACAGAGATTACTGTTTACCTACCTGAGAAACTTAGTAATCTTCCAGTGATCATGCATGTCTGCATTCTGGCAGATTTCTAAAAAAGCACTGCTACTGCATGAAAGCTAAATAAATCAATGCTTTGGGGAAACGCAGTTCAGAACGAGCAATACCCGATTGACTCGTTTGAGTCCGTTCCTTTTAATGAATTGGTCAACCTGTTTTGCGAATGAGTCAGGATAATTCAAACAGCTCACATACGGACTGAACCATTTGGACCAATTTCTCACTCTGTGAATGGTGACATGACACTGATCGCAAAAGAGCGCTAGATTAAGTGGATACAGTCGATTGAAACAAACCTTCAAATACTTTCAGTCGTATGCAAGTGAAGAAGACGATCTTTATTATAATAAATAACTGAATGTGAAGATTGTGAACAGGTATAAGCACTTGACAGCAAACAGTATCAAAACACTAGCAGTGCTCGAAAAGAACTAGTGCATGGCACTATGATATTATTGGACACTTATACAGTGTAGATTCTATGGTACACTCTAAAAAATGCTGGGTTGTTTCAACCCAACTTTGGGTCAAATATGGACTAACCCAACCGTTGGGTTAAAGTTTTACATTAAATTTTTTACCCAAAAGTTGGGTAAGTCCATATTTGACCCAAAGTTGGGTTGAAACAACCCAGCATTTTTTAGAATGCTGGGTTGTAATATTTGTGACCCTGGACAACAAAACCAGTCATAAGGGTACATTTTTTGAAATTGAGATTTATACATCATCTGAAAGCTGAATAAATAATCTTCCCATT